ATATATATATATATATATATATATATATATATATATATATATATATATATATATATATATATATATATGGACGCTTGAGTATACATATAGTATATCCAAGTATGAAAACAAACAATTTATTTAAAAAAAGAGAAGGATCCTTTTAAATGTAAAAAGTATGTTTAAAAAGTATGTAAAAATTATATTCAAAAAATATTTACTTGTTAGAAGTAAATAAAATACAAATAAATTATTTTGTAAATAAATTGCTTTTTGATAATAAAAGAAACTTTAATTTGAGACACATAAAGGACACTTTTAGTGTTAGAAAAATAATTTATTTAGATTTATAAAATGATTTATCTGTATTTCATTTACTTTTAAAACAAGCAAATATTTATTTAAACACAGTTTTTACATTTAAAAAATTAATTTTCTTTTTATGAGTGTAAAGAAATTATTTATTTATTCTTATACATAGATATTTTAAATTAAAGAAATCATTTCTTCTTATCTAGAAATTCATAATTTTACAGCTATTTTACAAATTTAAAAAATATTACTTTATATTTATCACATGTTTTCTAAAATCTAACAAATATTTTTTTGAAGAAATTATATTTAACAAAATATAATATCGGCAAAGCCCCAGTAACTACTGGGTGGAAATGGATATATAAATAACGTGTGGATATCTAGAGAATATCCTCAGTAGCTATTGGATAGATATAAATATATGGATAACGTGTGGATATCTAGTGGATATTCTTAATAGTTATTGAGTGGATACAGATATATGGATAACGTGTGGATGTCTAATGGATATCCTCAGTAGCTATTGAGTGGATGGGTACATGGATAACGTGTGAATATCTAGTGGATATCCTCAATAGTTATGAATGGATAGATAACGTGTGGATATCTAGTGTGAATATCCAGTAGCTATTGTGTGAATGTGGATATTTTATATATTTATGCACAACACAGCACAACATCTTTCATAAGCTTTCCGAAAGATAACTTGGAAATTATATTAAGATGTAACGTTAAAATAATTTAGAAATATTTGTGAAACGTTTCATCAAAAGCTTTTTCATTAAAATATTTCAAAAATCGCTTATAATAAGCGTTGATTTATATATTTATTTATAAATTTAATTAATTTAATTAAATCTTATACAATTAGATGTATTTCTCTTTTTTTTTTAATTGTACTCTATTATAATTACTTAAAGTTTATAGTCTTTTATGACTTTATCTATTAAATAATAATTAAAAATAAAAAAAATCTTTTACTATAAAAATTTAAAGATAATAAAGTGAAATGTGCGGGATTTTGTAGATCTCATTTCCTAGATTACCTAAGGGTTAAATTAACAACAGAAGTACAAAAAATATAATTTTTATTAAAATTAATATGGTAAAATTAATATGGTAAAATATAATTTTATTAAAATTATAATGGTATAATTTTTATTAAAATTATACCTTTTTGTTAAATCATGTTATCAAGAAATTATATTACTGTGTTAATTATAATACATATCTATACAGAACAAAATCCAAAATAGATCTCACGGATATCCTGTAGATATCGCGGTATCTATAGAATATCCATGAGATATATTTCGGATATTTGTTCTGTATGGATATAGACAAAATGTAAGACATTTATATCGATCAAAGAAGTGGTATAATGTCTAAAGGATGTCTAAAAATTGACCAATCATAGTTGATTATTCTTCTCACATTCGACTATTGGTCGAATGTAATTTCTTACTCTTACTTCCTACTTCTTACTGTTTACTTCCAATGTAGACGCTCCTTAAAGCAACAGACTCATAATCTAGAGGTGCCTCAGGATCCAAGTTCGAATCCCACCAGTGCTACCATTATAGAGAAGTATTACTGGCTGTGATAAATTGACCAGTAATAAATAGTAATTTTATTACTCGAACGAGTAATAAAATTACTAAACAACAGTAATTGTGACTGGCCAAATTTATCACTTATCAGTATTAAATTTCTATAAGGGCAGTGATAATTTTTAAATGTGATGTAACATTGGAATCAAATAATCTTAAGATTTTCAAGTAAAATTTAAGAAACACTGTGACATTTACGAACAGTTTCTAAATGTACAAATACGAAGAGTTTCTGTATATAAAAAGAAGTATCTGAAATATTTCCCATATATTTTTTAAACATATCAGTAATATTTCAGATATATTTCAGATAATACATCATAAGCGGACATTTTATGCATCTGAAAGATATCTAAAATATGTCTGAAATATTTCTTTAAAATGTTTTGTATTTCATTTAAAGATTTTGAAAGTTTTCTGAAATATGTTGATGCTGTGTGCGATGTTATTAATACTTGATGTTTACTGCGATATTTCCGAATGTACTATCCCACACAGCAAAAGGAAATCTGTGGAATCTCCTAAAGATATCCTGCCGGGATATTGCAATTTCCTACAGATATCCCATAGAAGTCGTGGATATGTGAGGGATATTACTAGGATACACTAATGTCCGCAGTTACGAACACGTATAGATATCGCATATTGTAGTGAAATATATTTGTGTGATATTCCTGGGATCTCTGATTATTGTCGTATACAGGAAAACCCCGGAAGATATATCGCACGTATATTTTACAGATATATTAGTGATAATTATGGTAGATAGTCGGGATATATCTGGGAAAATATTTCTGATAATAATAATGACTAAATTTATACTTGGTGCTTCCCAATTGCTTAACACATCTTGACATATACGTACATAAAACCAGTTTATTGGTCACATATTATCTAAAATAACTTGTAAGATAATATACAACCAATAAACTGGTTTTGTGTAACACAGTATACGCAACTGGAAAGCACCCACTGATTACTTAATATGCATATCAATAAATATATAGTTAGTATAAAATATGTTTAGTAAGTCAATTTTATACCGATATACTAATTCATATGTATATTAAACAATCAATATAATGTAGACATTAGTATTATATCTGAAATTATACAAAATAGAATTACACAAAATACAATAATTATATATTATGGCAAATATTTTATCACAGTTTTAATATTTGTTTTATACAAATACTTTTATACTACTATTAAAATATAATTCTTGTGAACACTTTTAACCATATAGACTTATGGTTTAAGCGTAATAAAATAAATGTTTTTTATATAAAATAAGCAATATTTATATAATAATACACAAAAAATTATATGACACCTTACGCAATATTTCGCACCATTAATTGCAATTTAAAAAATACAATCCTTGTGAATACTTGTAACCATGTCAACTTTGAACGTAAGAAAATAAACGTCTTTTATATAAAATAAGTAATATCTAAATAATAATAAACAAAAAATTATATGGCATCTTATGCATCATTTTGCACCATTAATCGTAATGAAAAAAATACAGTCCTTGTGAACACATATAATTATGTCAATTTATAGTTTAAACGTAACAAAATAAATGTTTTTGATGTAAAATAAGCAATATCTATATAATAATAAACAAAAAGTTATGTAACATTTTATGCATTATTTTGCACCATGCATCGTAAACATAAAGGAACTTAGCAGCATACAATGTTAAGATGCATATTTAGTAGGCAAATAAACAGCGAACGAGTAGCGAGTGAACAGTAAATTTGTATGTGTATGCCGCACCGAATACAAATTAAACGTTTGTAGCATTCTAAAGGTGCATATATACTATGCGAAAAAATGGCTAACAACAACAAACGAACAGCGATTTTGCGAAGATTAGCAAACTAACAACGTAAACATGTTTTACATTTGTTATTCCTGCTTGGTCGCTTAGGATGTATCACTTTTTGCAAAATATCTGTTTACCTTTCATTCACCGTTTGTTCACTTGGTGTATATACATGCTTAAAATGCTACGAACGTTCTGTTCGCATTTTCTGTGACGTACACATTTGCGAATTCACTGTTCACTCGCTCTTTGTTTGTCTAATGTATATATACCCTGACATATAACATATCTGTTAGTAATAATTTCTCATTCAACAATGGGTGCTTTCCAATTGCATTAACATATTTTAACACACACGTACACAAAACCAGTTTATTGGTCACATA